CCAATACCAGGAGAAATACTTCTCCATACCCAACTTCCTTTAAAGGCTTATCGACGCTTTTAATGCCCTGGAGACTCAACAACCTCTTGCACCATTGATTTCTCAGAGTCAGGAGCATCCTCCGCTGGTCAAATTGAACCGAACTCCACCTTCTGGAAAAAAGCGGGAAACGAAACCTTCCTACTTTGTAGGCTCAATCCCACAAACACACTATGTTGTGTCGACAAACTTAGAGGTATTTATTTCCTCTTTTATTTTCAAATTTCTAGTCTTTTTTCTTATGCTAACTTGGAAGTCTTCCCCAGGGGATACCTTGTGCAGGTGACATCGAGTTGAATCCAACTAGAAATCTCCCTGTTGGTGTCAATACTGCAAAGTCCCGTCATCCGGCTTTCACCAAACCTACCTGCCACATTTTAAATAATGCTCCGCCTCCCAACTTCGCAACCCAGAATGAGATTGAAATGTTGAAAAACAAAGATCCAATGATGTCATTTAGGAAGATTCACCTTCTCTGACACACCCCAATTGCTTCACTAAATCTTGGTTCGACGTCTCTGCCAAGCGCTGAACTAGATGTTGAAGTAATTCGTGCGCTTCATGAGCTAAGGTCTTATTTGTTTGAAAGTTGGTTTTTAGCTATTGTCAAGGAGGAAGCCTTCATGTCAATTGGGATCTTCAAACTTATCGACACTATTTCCTAATATCATCATCTTAATTCCTTAACTCAAAATTTATTTTGAAGCTTTCTTTTCCCAACTTGCAAAAGATCTCTCATTCCACCATTGCACCGCCTCCAGCTTAAGACCAAAGCAAACGAGATGAGAGTTGAATGGGACTTGAGTGACATTTATATCCAAAGGGCTAATGACCTCAAATCTAAGAGAAAGGACCTTCTAGAGCAACATTCTACTCTTGACCAAGAAATCCTGGATTATCGAAACCAAATCGAAGTGCTCAATCAAAAAATTATCGATGATGAGCGTCAAAAGGCTTTGTTGGATTCATCTAACATTCATTTACCCGACGACATTCAGAAATATACTCTCGAGGTAATAACCCATGGCGAGAAAGCCCTTCATCTTAGGATCAAGATCAATCATCTTTCAGCTAAAAGGATTCGCCTCGACCAGAAAATTACCTATGAAAGGGCCTTCTTGGAAAACCTCAGATCTCGGTTTCCTTTGTAATCTTGTTGTTGCCCCCGTTTCAACTGGGCTTTATGTATATGAAATCCCATCGAGAAATGTAATAGCCATCTTGGCACTTGTCCATTTTTTTCCATTATATTTGACATTCTTTATTTTGTAGTAATTCGAATCTCTTGAAGCATAGGTTTATATTTTTTCAAATATTTTTCGTTTACTTTCAATATTCTTGTATCGAAGCCCGACTCTTCGACCTCATATGCATTATTGGTGAACGTTCGTAGTATTTGGAATGGTCCCTCCCAATTTGGTGACTACTTCCCTAAAGTTCTATCTTTTCGATCCATAGGAAGAATAACTTTCCAGACGTAATCGCCGACCACAAACATTTTTATCTTGGCCTTTTTATTATAAGTCTTTGTAACTCGTTCTTTCTGTCGGATTAGCACATCCAATGCAACTAAACTTTCTTCATCTAAATCCATTGTTTCATCCAACATCATATTCCAATACTATTCTGATGAAAGTTCGTGTTGGCATTGCACCTGCACTGATTGCAAGTATATCTCGTCTGGTAAAACTATGTTGTGTCCAAATGTAAGTCGAAAAGGTGTCAACCCAGTCGCTTCCTTGGGAGATGTTCGATAAGCCCATAAAACTTAATCTAACGTCTTGTGCCAATTCTTGGGTTTCTTAGAGGAGTGTTTCTTAACTAACCCAATTATTACTTTATTGGAAGCTTCGACCTGACCATTGGCTTAAGCGTAATAAGGCATGGACGTTACCAACTTGAAGTCTATTTCAGATACAAACTCCTGCATTTTATGCCCAACGAAAAATGATCCTTGGTCTGTAGTTATTGTCTTTGGAATCCCAAATCTATAAATGATATACTTTTGAGTGAATCAATCACTGCTTCTTGGTCAACATTGATCAATGGTACTGCTTCTATCCATTTAGTGAAGTAGTTTATCCCTACTAGGATGAACTTTTGTTGTTTCGACAATGCCGGTCAAATTTCTCATATGACGTCCAACGCCCATCCCCGAAATGGCCATGGCTTAATGATCGTGTGCAATTTTCTTGCAGCTACATGTTGAATTCCTACATGCTTTTGGCATTCTTGACAACCTTTGGCAAATCCAATACAATATTTGAACATAATCGGCCAATAGACACCCATTCGAAATAGAAACCATTTCATTTTATGGCCGGATTGGTGGGCCCCACAAGCTCCATTGTGGACCTTGAGCTACCGCCAAATACGCTTCAGTATCTCCTAAGTAATTGAGCAATACCCCTTCAGGAGTCTTTTTAAATAACTCATTAACCATGCACACATAACTCAAAGCCCTATATTTTACTTTCCTTTCCATATTTCTTGCTGGAGTTTCCAAATAATTTATAATTGGCTTTTACCAATCTGTGTCTGACAAATTGTCAATAGCAAAAATTTCAAAATGTTCAAAATTTTCATTTTTGAACGTATCATCAACCCCCCAGTTTTTGATATTGGCCATGTGAAGGACGGTGCCGAAACTACCTTCTCTCTCACCTCGACAAAACTTTTCAACTTGCCGGTAGAGACTTTGTACCCAGAAGCAATTTGTGCCAAATCATTGGCCACTTGGTTTTCCAATTTGGGCACATGCATAACGCTCACAACTTCAAAGTATTCCAACAATTGATTAACCACTGCAAAATAAAAAAAAATAAGTGTTCTTTGATGCATTTGTATTCTCGAGTGATTTTCTTGATCACTAATTCTGAATCTCCTTTAATTTCCACCCTTTTCACACCTAAGTCTTTCAACAATCTAAGCCCAGAAATCAGCGTTTCATACTTTACTTCATTATTGGAGTGTTTTCCATCTACCCTACACTTCAATTTTTCTGGTACTCTTTTTGGATATATAATCAGAACTCCGACACCAGTTCTATTTTTATGGCTCTAACCGTCAAAATATAATTTCCAAGGGTCAGTGTTTACCAGATTCACTGATGGCTCTATTATGGCGTGATCGACTATAAAGTCTGCCACAATTTGGCCTTTCATGGCCTTCAAAGGCATATAAAACAATGAAAACTCAGTTAAGGCTAGTTCCCACTAGCCAATTCGATTATGAAAAATGGGTTTGGACAACATATGTTTAATTACATCACAATGGGACGAGACATAAACATCAACTGGCTTAATATATTGCTTAAGTTTAACACACGAGAAATACAAACATAAGCATAATTTTTCTATCATGTTATACCTAGTTTCTGCATCTATCAATACATGACTAAGGTGATAAATGGGTCTTTTTACTCCATTATCATCCTCTTGGGCTAACATGCTCCCTATTGTTAAATCAGATACCACTATGTACAATCTCATGTTTTTATTTCGACTAGGTGGTAATAAAACGGGAGGCCTTGTTAGATATTCTTCGATTGCTTCAAAGGCCTCTTGTTGTTCTTTACCCTAGTGAAAGTCACTTTCCTTCTTGATATTCAATAATGGCGAAAAAACCTTTGTTTTGCCACTTAGATTTGAGATAAATATTTTTAAGAAGTTGATTTTCCCCAACAAAGACTGCAATTATTTCTTTATCGAAGGAGGCTAGACCTTAGGACCTTTATCCATGCATGACAACATTAGATAGATGTTTCCCTCTTATCCTCAACTATAGGATCGACAGTGCATGACAACTTTAGGGCTTATTTTCTAGTCTCCCCTTAGACTTTTTCTTCCCTTTTGCATCTCATTAAAACTAAAACTTATTCTTATTTCAAACTTCTCAAAATACTATAAATCCACTTAAATCCTTTTCAAGGTAAAAAAACACAAACCAATTCAAAATCTTTTGTCTTCAGAATTTTTCTTTTAAAACCTTTTCAAAAAGGACTTACTTCGCCAACATTGTTCATAAAAAACATTACAACCAATGGAAATTTTTTAGCCAAACTACGACGCTTTGATTCCCTAAAAGGGATACATAGGCATCTGGTCACGGGCTCAGTCGAGCAAACTTTGTAATTTTCCTTCTTTTCCCCATGTTTTCTCTTTTGCATGCATTCCCCTTTGCATCTTTCTTTTTAACTCTTAAGATTTAGACATAGACTTTATATACACTCTTAGATTAGAACAAACATAAGTGGATCCTATGGAGTATCATAGACGTGTGGGGTGCTAATACCTTCCCCTTGCGTAACCGACTTCCACTCGATCTCTAAGGTTGCCCCTTCAGGTTTACTCGATGTTCACCTTTCCCTTTCGGTGGGATAAAATACGTTTGATGGCAACTTCATTAAGTTTACTTTCGATGATTTTTCCAGTTGTTTCAGTTGGTCGAACCGGAAGCATCAACCAACAATTAGGATAAGCACGAAGATGAAAGCTTCTATAAATACGGATACCTCCAATACATCAAAACTCATTGCCCATGGGTAAACAAAGATTGTTTCAACATCAAAAACAACAAAAACTAAAGACAATATATAATAACGGATTTGAAATTGTAATCAAGTATCGCCCATCGGTTTTATTCTAGATTCTTAACTAGAAAGTTTTTTCTGGACCTTTCCTAATTGGATCTAAAATTCCAGAAATTAGAAATGCCAAAATAAGAATAAAGATCGGTATTATTAGAAATGTCCAAAAAATATCATATTCATAAAGCAAAAACATAAATGTACTCCTAGGAATGGGGAAAATATCATGGTAAAATTAAACAATGACCCACTCGAATTAATTGATAATATTAGTTGATGGATCATTTGTAAAAAGATTTTATTAACTCCTAAGTTATGTCGAGTAGACCTTGTTCTTGTATAATTCTTAATTCATGCGTTATAGGGTGGATTTATGTCACCACAAACAAAAACTAAAGCAAAGGATCAGTTCAAAGCTGGTGTTAAAGATTATAAATTGACTTATTATACTCCTGAATATCAAACCAAAGATACTGATATCTTGGCAGCATTCCTAGTAACTTCTCAACCTGGAGTTCCGCCTGAAGAAGCAGGTGCAACGGTAGCTGCGGAATCTTCCACTGGTACATGGACAATTGTGTGGGCCGATGTACTTACCAACCTTGATCATTATAAAGGATGCCGCTACGAGATAGAGCCTGTTCCCGAAGAAGATAATAAATTTATTGCTTATGTAACTTATCCCTTAGACCTTTTTGAATAAGGTTTTGTTACTAACATGTTTACCTCCATTTATGTAAAGTATTTGCGTTCAAGGCCTTACGCACTCTACGTCTGGAAGATTTGTGAATCACTAATGCTTATGTTAAAACTTTCCAAGGTCCTCCTCACGGAATCCAAGTTGAGAGAGATAAATTGAACAAGTATGGACGTACCTTATTGTGATGTACTATTAAACCAAAATTGGGTTTATCCGCTAAGAATCATGGTAGAGCAGTTTGTGAATGTCTCTGCGGGGGACTTGATTTTAGCAAAGATGATGAAAATGTGAACTCCCAACCATTTATGCGTTGGAGAGACCGTTTCTTATTTTGTGTCGAAGCAATTTATAAATCACAAGCCAAATTAGGTGAAATCAAAGGACATTATTTGAATGCTAATGCGGGTACATGTGAAGAAATTCTAAAAAGAGTTGTATTTTCTAGAGAATTGGGCGTTCCTATCATAATGCATGACTACTTAATAGGTGGATTCACTGCAAATACTACCCTTTATAACTATTGCCGCAATAATGGTCTAATTCTTCATATCCTCAGTGTTATGCATGCAGTTATCGATAGACTAAAAAATCATGGTATGCACTTTCGTGTATTAGCTAAAGCCTTACGTTTGTTTGGTGGAGATCATATTCACGCTGGTACTGTAGTAGGTAAACTTGAAGGAGATAGGGAGATTACTTTAGGTTTTTTTTGATTTACTATGTGATGATTATATTGAAAAATATAGAAGTTACGATATTTATTTCACTCGAGATTGGATTTCTTTACTAGGTGTTATCCATGTTGCTTTAGGGGGTATTTACATTTGGCATATGCTTGCTCTGACCGAGATATTTGGAGATGATTCTACTCTCCAATCTAGTGGAGGAACTTTAAGACACCCTTGGGGAAATGCACCTGGTGCCGTAGCTAATCGAGTAGCTATAGAAGCATGTGTATAAGCTCAGAATGAGGGACGTGATCTTGCTCGCGAGGGTACTGCAATTTTCCGTGAAGCTTGCAAATGGAGTCCTGAATTAGCTGCTGCTTGTGAAGTATGTAAGGAAATCAAATTTGAGTTCCCAACAATGAATACTTTAATCCAGTAATAATAATTCGTTATATTAATTTTTATTAAACTCAGCCCAATCTTTTACTAAAAGGATTGATCCGAATATAATACACAATACAAAAATACTTGTTGTATCTAAAATGAATCCTATAGATCTTTCGGATTGATATATTTTTTTCTAGTTCATTATTATTTTTTGATTTGGAATATAATGAATTAAAATAGAAATATTTTCTATTAAAAAATTTGAATACAAATATTTTTTTATTTGTTTTCTCGATTTTATTATTATTTTTCAACACTAATATTGACAACAATATATCAAACAAATATAATTTAATCGTGAATAAATGGATGGATTGAATCATGTCACATAGGTTTTTTACTTCATCAAATGATGGATCAATTGTATTTTGATTTTGTTTGATATAAACAAGAAGTTTTTTTATTCAAAGTGAAATATAAATATAAAAAAAAACTAATTTCAAACTATATTAATAGAAAAATAACTATAGTATTATACTAAACAAGTCGTCTATCATTTTTTATTATCATTTTTTTCATTGTAATTTAATGTAATATGTAACATTTAACTCTATTATTTATAGAATTCTATCTTCTTTTTTTTAAATTTGATATACATATCATTTTTTTAAATTTGATTAGGGTTGCTAACTCAATGGTAGAGTACTCAATTTTTAAGTGCGACTCCATTTTTTACACATTTCTATGAACTAGTTGGTTCATCCATACCATCGGTAGAGTTTGTAAGACCATTGTCCATTGGTCTGTCTTGGGACAGGGTTAGAATTCTAGATCTTCTAGAGTGGTATCTCACTGATGGCTCGAGTTCCCTGAAGGGGGCCTTCTTTTCCTTCCACCTAAGTGCACGGGAAAAGCCCAAAGCCAATCACAGGGAAACCGTGAGGCTTCATAGGGTCTTTCTGTCCAGGTGCAGGTAGTCTACATCTTCAAGGACATTTCTATTTCTACGAGTCTCTCTCTGAGACAGTGCCCAGATTGTAACGCCTTTCGTGCGGGTCAGAACTTACCCAACATGGAATTTTTCTACCTTAGGGTCATTATAGTTACGGTCACCATTCACCGGGGCTTCGGTCTCCAGCCTCCCTGTCACCAAGTTGAAACAAACGGCTGGACATATCATCGAGATAAAATCAACGAAGTTGCCATTGAACATTTTTATCCCACGGGAAGGGAAAGTAAAACATTGAGTAACCATGAGAAGGTGAAATCAAGGTCAAACAACCGAGAGATCGGGTAAGGGAGTAGATTACGCGAGGGGAAGGTATTATCACCCCACACACCCGTAGTACTCTATGGTATCCACTCGTGTTGTTCTAATCAAAGGGTGTGTTCAAATATAAATCTTATGAGATAAAAAGAAAATTGCAAAGAGGGAATGCATGCAAAAGAAAACACGGGAAAAAGAAGGAATATTTACAAACTTTAACTCGGCTAAGCCCAGTGACCAGATGCCTATGTATCCCTTTTATGGAATCAGAACGCCGTAGTTTGGCTCACATTTTTCACTTTGTTGTATGTTTTTTTTACCTTGAAAAGGGATTTTAAAAGAAAAGCTAAGCGGGAAAATGAAGTTTGAGTTGATTGGTGTTTTTTACCTTGAAAAAGGATTTGAAAATTATTAGATGTTTTATGCATTTGCCAAGAAAGGGAAAGTTTTAGTTTTAAGGATGCAAAAGAAAAGAAAACAACTAAGGGAAACTAACTAGCTATATCCTTATTGTTATCATACAATGATGGCCCTAAGGTCAAGGATAAAAGGAGAACCTCTAACTGAGTTAGCATGCATGGTTCACATCCTAATGTCTATCTCAAATCACCACCAAAGGATGAACCGAGAAGTCCTAAGGGAACATGGTTAAGGTTCACAACCTAAACCTATGTCTATCTCGAATCGCCACCAAAGGGTGAATCAAGAGATCCTAAGGGAGAATGGAAAAGGTTCACAACCTAATGTCTATCTCAAATAACCACCAAAGCGTGAATCAAGAGATCCTAAGGGAGCATGGCAAAGGTTCAAAACCTAAGAAAACATGCACATAATAAGGATGGAAAGCAAACAAGCAATCAACAAACTCAAGAGAGCACACACATGTCATGAGTAGTACACACTAACACAAATCAAAAGGCCTAACCAAGATATCAAATCATCAAGGTAGGTAAAAGGGGGATGTTCTTGATCATAGATATCTCATCTAGGTAAGAAGGGGTCTTGAAAGCTACTCTTAACTAAGCTATCATGTCACCAAGGCAAGAAGTATAGAGTGAGGGGAAGTGAATTTCCAAGGCGACTACGCACCTAACCAAGATATCGAGAATATAGGTAGGAGATAGAAGATAATATGAACAAACACGGAGCATCAACATCGCCTGACGTGAGCTCAAGACAAAGTGTGGGGAATTGGTTACATATCGCTTTTCCATTTGACTGACTCGATAATGAGAGCAGCACACTCCAAAGCATAAGCATACAACGCGAGCTAAGGTTGACACAGACTAAAATTGTGGGGGTTGATTGAAAACCCTACTCGACTTGCCTTCTTTGAGGACTTAACAATGGGGAATGGGAATGGGATGCCTCTTTGAGGTCTTTAGGTATAAATGTAAACACATAGAAAAATGCCTACTTCGAAGGTGGGTCTTTAAACAATCAACAAACACAATTAGAAAACAAGTGCGGAATTACTTATAAAGGACTTTAAACAACGACTTCAAGCGCACACTCTTTACTATCCTACTTCTCGTGATATCTAGAAAGTGATAAAATGCTGAAAGATAAACCAAACAATGTAATAATACCAAGCAGATAAATTATCCATTATGCTGCAAGCAAGCAAAGTGAAAAGAAACTTCGAGCAAGCTAGCATCAACAAATGAAATGGTCAGAAATAATATCCAATACAGTCATCCAGTGTACAATGTGAAAATAAATCACAAGCAATACGCCTCAAGCCAATATCCTACACTAAGCGATGCTACACAAGAAAATGATAAAATCCGAACACATGTGTCGTGACAAATCACCTTCTAAAACTTGCACAATCTCACAAGAAAGGTTAGAAAATAAAAAGGGATATCAACCGTAACTCAACAGTCGACATCACAAGTTAAAATGGTGTATTATCATGCATGAAGTGAAATACAACAAGTAATGGAGACATAAAAGTGAACTCCGGGCAGCATGTACATCACACAAAGAAATGCATAAAACATCAATCCGAAACCGACACAACTTGATACACATGTCTTATAATGACCCAGAAAATGAAATGAGATATAAACCAACAATTAAGACTAAATTCGGGTGCACTTTACAAAATTGGGCAGCACTACGCTTATTTCAAGAATTAACCCGAAAAACATACCGGGATCAAGCAAATCTAAACACAAAGGTTCATAAACGAACAATAACATACAATCATGGATTATGTGAAGATTAAACTCAAAGTACATGTCTAAAAGCACCAAAAAGAACTAAATTCAAAAATTAAGTGCACAAAACATCAGAACGGAATTGGCTAAAACCACACGGTTAGCTACAAATGCACCAACAGACTCAAAAAAGTGGTTCCCATGAATTAACTCCAAGTGGAGGTACTACTCCCAAATCCCGGGCAGCAACTCCATCACATACCGGTATCACTTGACAATGACATTTTAAGCTTACCAACGAGTGTAAAAACATGTAATGGTGTATGTAGAACCACCTAGGAATCATAAGTATCTTGTGAAGGACCTGAATTCTCACAAACCAAGCCAAAAATCACATAATTCAAGTGTTAATGCAACTTTCGGATTTATTGTTTTGATGTTGAAAATTAAGATACATCAACAAATTGATGTGAAAAGTTGCATTAACTCGTGAATTCACCACTTAATCTCATCATAATCCCATAATCGGTATCAAATCTCAAATTTGGTGTTTTAAAAATTAACATCAATTTTCCGAATGAAATTCAACATCTAATATCGATTATGTAATTATCTAACCAATGTCAGATTTCAAAACCATATCCACAACCAAGAATCAAGTCAACAATTCAATTCGCACCAAAATTCACCTCTTATGCATTTTAACAAACACCTAATCTACATCAAATTTAACTCATTAACAACTCTAATGGTTAACCAACCACTTCCAAGTCTCTTTAATATCATAAACTATTCTTTAATTCAAGAATCAACAACCTCCACCAATTTCAACAAGGTTATAACCTATTCCACACTTTGACATTATCATAAAATCAAGTATATACTCCAAAATTCAAATTCAACCAAATTTACCTCTTAGGAATTTTATCAAACACCTAAACTACAGCAATATATCTCAACCAAACTTCAAAATTCCAACTCAAGTTTATGTCAAATTCTCGATTAACAATCAATATTCAACACTTTAATTCAATAACTATATCAATCTTCAACTCATGAACATAATCACAATTGCAATTTAATTCAAGAATTCAAGCAAAAGTAATAAAGAGTTACAAAATTGAAGTCAATAAGAGGTTGAAGAATAGGATGCATCACCGGAATCACGATCGGAGAAGAAAGATGGAAGGAGATTTGTGATTTTTAACTTTTGTTTTCTTGTTGAATTTTTGAAGATTGATGAAGATTGTTGATGTTCTTGAGCAAGATTGTTGATTGTTGATGAAAATTGATAAATTTTTAACGTTCATTGAACCAATAGAATTTGATCCCTCAAGATATCGTACCATGATTTCCTTGAAATGATATCCATCAGGGATCTCACAAGAGTCTGACCTTCACTCGCTCCTCTTTAAGATATGACTACCATTGACCCAACAAAATCTGATTCCTCAGAATCTCCTATCAGGATTTCCTATAATGACCAGCAACCATTATCTTCTTGAGATCAGACCTTCACTCAGTCTCTCAAGGAACCTTCCATTGATATGTTCAGTGATCTAACTAGATATAACAATCATTGACCCAATAGAATATGATCCCACACAATCTCATATCAGGATT